TGCTGGCATGCTCTGCATGCTGGGGATGCGGGTGCTGCCTTTTTGACAGTCCGGGCAAAACGTCTTGAGGGTCGGCGGAATCAGGCGTCAGCCTGCTAAATACTCTGGAATCAAACCAATACTGCCATGTGACTTTCTTTTCTCAAAAAGGCTGCTTGGATCCAGTTGGGGCGGAGGTGGCCGCGAGGATTTTGTTCACGGGCAAAGTTTGCCATGCTTTACCTACGGCTCTCAGAATTAGGAAAAGAGGTAACTTTGGATGCTGTGATCAACTGAAACACTCCCTGGCCCGTAGGCTTTCGGGCGGTCGGCACTCATGCAGGGTCTGCCCGGGGGAGGAGCGGACTGCTTCCACACACCCGCGACTGATCCCTGAGCGGGGAGGGATCCCGTGAGGCCTCTCCCCGCCAGCGCGGTTTTGCACTGAGTGACAGTAACACAGAACAGAACCAGCACCCCTGCAAAGAATACCGCAATATGGCCAAGCTGCAAAAACGTCGCATTGAAGCCGTGAACACAGCTCCCTGGGCCGGAAAAGAGGCTATCATGCTATGCCAATGGAGTGGCGAACAATCATGGGCACCAGAGTCAATAAAGGATCAACTTTCCAGAATTGAGAAATGACAGTGGTGTCAATCTGAGGGCTACATCTTCAAACTTCGTAATGTCACACGGCCTTCCTGTAAGTGAGGGGATCAAATGACCAGGCCGAAGCGGCTAACGCCCTGCTGGTGCCCAGCCCCAAGGTTGCCTTGCAGGCCACACCACCAATGTGGTTTTGGGAGAGGTGCAGCACTTGCAGGGCGGATCAGGGAGGTGTGGCCCTCTCACACCAATCAAGCAAACTGCTTGCTCCAGGGACCCAATTTTGTGCGTTCAAACAAGTTCTGTATTTGAAAGGGAAATCTCATTGATTTTGATTGAGTGTCCGTAACTCTGTTGATTGTTCGTCGGAGCGCCCTGCGCCCTGGTCCGGCCTCAGATGCTGGAACATGATGCCAATATCTGTGCTGTTGCCGTGGCTGAACAGTAACGTCCTGGCCATGCCAGGTCAGGTGCTAGAAAATGCGAGGCACAAATCTGGCTGCTTGCCTTCCGCTCGCCCCCCCCTTACCTTCGCAACACCGAGTGCTTCGCATCAGCAATGGATTGGCCCCAAGCTGAAAAATGCTTGCCTCCAAGCATATGGCATGTCTAGAGCCAAGCAATGTGCGGAGCATGAGGTCAGTGCTTGCCAATTTGGTCTGATTACCACATACTACCACATGCTAGTCATGCTAGTTTTGTTTCCTCATAAGCCGCTGCGCTCAATCCGAGTCCTGCTAGAGTCCGCACGCTTGAAGTGGAAGCCAAGGATCACGTTTCCCCGCCGTGTCCACATCCGTACGGTGTCCACAACGATGCCCTGCAAACAGCAAATGCAGATTAGCTGCAACATGGGCAACTATCCCACATGAACCAGGGCAACGGAAAGATCACCTCAAGTGCGGACCCGGCAAGCAACTGCATCAACACTCCCAGCAACGGCCTGCTTTGCAGGCGCAAGCAGACCACCACCGCCACCACCGCCGCCGCCACCACCACCACCACCACGACCACCATCAGCACCACCAGCACGAGCACGAGCACCACCACCAGCACCAGCACCAGCACGACAACATCTTGCAACTTGCAACAAGCAACTGAGGGACTCTCTGCACCAAAGATGAGACACACGTCAACAAAAGCACAAAATGCACAAGCAACACATAGCAAGCTGTGTTGTAGATGTGTCACTCCAGTCCATGCTTAAATGGTGCGAACATGGACAACAAAATCGAAGGAGACAGCAACAAAACGGTACTCAATGTCAAAATCACGCGGGAACACGCACACTCAAAAAGAAACAGAAACACACACACACACACACAAACACAAACACAAACACAAACACAAACACAAACAGAAACAGAAACAGAAACAGAAACAGAAACAGAAACAGAAACAGAAACACACAAACACAAACACAAACACAAACACAAACACAAACACAAACACAAACATAAACACAAACACACACACAAACACAAACACAAACACAAACAACACACACACACAAACACAAACACACAAACACAAACACAAACAAACACGCAAACGCAAACGCAAACGCAAACGCAAACACAAACACGCAAACGCAAACGCAAACGCAAACGCAAACCCAAACCCAAACCCAAACCCAAACCCAAACACAAACACAAACACAAACACAAACACAAACACAAACACACACACACACAAACACAAACACAAACAGACACACACACACACACAACAAGTGTAGAGAACGCACTGGGGATGACGCACAAACACACACACACAACACAACACAGCACGCACAGCAAGAAGTACATCGCAAGCAAATGTGGTCGTTGGAACTTCAAGCTTGATTCAATTCCATGACACCAAATACCGCCCATCCATGCAACTTGTTGCGCATGTGCCTGCATTTGCACACATCCTTTCTGCGTTTCCATCAAGGCTTAGTCGATGATGCCCGCAGGTTGACAAGCACAGCGCATATCTTGCGAGGGTTTACATACAATTACACACATGCTTTTGTGGATTGCTGGAGCGTTCAAACAAATCGGCCTAGATGAGGGGTATGCATCAGCGTGCATGGAGAGCACGTGATCTTGCACTGCTTGGGCTGTTTGAATGCAGTGATGCAAACCAGGCGTGGTTCAAGCAGCTGCCAATGCCTATATAGATTGAGTTTTGCCACATGCTCTGCTTGGTTCCCTTGCTCTCCGTCGGTGTGGTCATCTGCTGCAAAAAGTCATGCCAGTGGTCGCACTGTCAACATCTTTTAGCCTCTATAACCCAAGCACATCTCGCCCAATGATTACTTCGGGTTTTCTTGGATTTCCAGTTCTTTCCCGTCGCGCCATCGGCACGCCCTGTGGCTCCTCCGGTGCAAGGTCCGGTAATGGTGCAAGGCCATAGTCCGACTCCACCAGGAAGACCTCCAACCCAGGAATCCACCAGCGCAGCGCGCTGTTTGGGAACTATTTTTTCAGTCCCTTGCAGTCATCTGGCCGGATTCAGACAGGTACAACTCCGCACACCTAGCAAAGATCTCTCAAACGCATACCCAAAGCGAGGGCTTGTTGTCATCTCAAATGCCTGCCAAGCCTGCGAAATGTCAACACGTTCACTCTTACTCAGAATGCTTGTTCGTAGCCTTGGGTCTCGCCTAGAAGGGTGCGTCAAAATGTCAAGACTCCTTGCCCGTGCAGCGCCCCTTCCCACATGTTGTGAAACCAATTATTTGCTATGGTGATAACTTTGACAATTGTGAGTTTCAATCAGCGGTTCAACCAATTAACCCCTAAGATACCCTGTGAGAACAATGGCATGGCAAAGATCGCAGCCAACTGCGCCTGCCGGTCCTCGGTGACATGATAGCCCGGCGGCCGCGGTGGGAAGAAGGCCACCTGGAGGCCCAAACCATTCCAAGAATTTCCAATACGTTCAAGCAGGTCACCCTGCAATCGTCTTTTGACGCAAACACCGGCAATGACAAACGCCAGGTTTGCGCTCGAAATCCGAAGGATGTCTACAGGACCAGCACATTCGCAACCGACACCATCCAGCTTGATATGACTAAGCTACCCACATGATGCATAGGGCCCCATGGCAGCGCTAAAAGTCTTAGCTAACATCATCCCACCGAGCAGCTTCATGGGTACACCCCGCTTTTCACAACTGCAATGTTGCCAGAGTATTCTCACTGGTCTCAATCAAACCTGCTGGGAATGCGCACATCCGTGATATCCTCTGGCTTGAAGCAATCTTCCACAATCACATGAACGAAAACCATTCAGGAAGCATGACATGGTCTGATGCGCACAACACATCGGAGAATTATTGTGGTATGAACACAAGCTGGGATACCCTTGCAAGACACTCTGGTGGAAAATGACACATGCTAGTTTGCAAAGGGCACCGGGGAGAAGGGTCAGCGCATGACTTATCCACTGCTTGCCGTGCCTGGTTAACTACTCGCCGAATAAGGCCCGGCACCAGGGAGAGGCAGCCCACACAGCAAATCTGCGATGGGCGAGGGCTGCAAGGGCTGAGTCACGGCACTCTGAAAACCGTCAGCCGTGCTATGTAAATCTTCCCAGGGAAAGGAAAGTCATTTCAGTGCCAAGGTCCACAAAGGCTCCCGGGTCCCATGCGAAAATGCAGTGGTTTAAGTAAGCTTCAACTTCGCCATTGAATATCATAGTTGAATGCCCAACCACATTAAAGGCACCGTGCAGCTTCAAGCTGTTTTTAAAGTGTAATGGAACATTATGTTAATCTGCAGTCCAACTTAACATAAACGTGAGGAGCCCCCTAGCAAGCGTGAAAGTCGGGGTGCAGGGCTGTGCGAGGGGTCTGGGACAGAATAGAACTAGGGTGCAGGGGTTTGTAGTCGTGTTTGGTGTGTGTGTGTGTATGAGACCTGAACTGCGGCAGATCCCTTCTTTGCGTGGTAAATTGCGTTGTTGTTGATTGTGCGCATCATGTTGGGTTTTATGTCATGGCCGGAAACAACTTTTGAATGCAGACCTCTCGCTCTCTCTCTCTCTGTCAAATTGTAGGACTCACTTTGGTGGTTTTCAACACACGACGTGTCAATAGTGACGAGGACCCAACTCAATCAGTAATGCTGCCCAAGTCGCAACCTTTTCCAGGCTGCAGAAACAGCCTTCCTAAAGCAAAGTCCAGACTTTGGGACTGAGGTGTCCAAAACTGGCGCGAAAAACACACAAAGGGCCGTTCGGCGTATGCCTGACCGGAGGTGGCTGTTGCAGTATGACCAAGACTTCCAGGCCTCATTTGGCATGAAAACGCATTGGCAGCTTTCAACATGGTTGTCACCTTGCTGGACCCCATGCAAGGGCGGAGCAACATGCCCGGGTGGCAAAAAGGGATGACAAGCCTGTCACAACATTTTGAGTGCTGGATTCGGGGTAGTCCTCCTGTTATTCCCCTCCTTTTTCGGCATCCGCCACTATCACCATGGCCGCTCTTGGCGCGCCAACACCGTCTCACTCAGCGACGCTAGCTGGCGCAGATACCACGGCTCCGTCTTCCAAGGCTCCTGGCATGAGTGGCTGTTCACATTGCAGGGGCTGATGCAATCGGTTTGTTTGCTGGAGTCCTCTCGATTTCCTGCATAGATTTCTTTTCATGTTGGTCAGTCCCGTGCCCTTGAAGAGCTGCCTGTTGGAGGTCGTCCCTCGCCGTCTGCACTGCAAGGAGCTACCTTCTGGCTGCCAGAATATCCCGAGAAGCAGCATTGAAGACGGTTTTAATCGGTTTTTCATGGGCCCCAGTCTTGGCCTGGTTTACTTGCTGCATGCTCTGCACACCCTGCACACCTTGCACATCCTCCACACGCACAGCATACAAGCCTGGTCCCGTAATCTGCCATCCACCGAGGAGAAAAACAAGCTTGCAGATCTGCGAATTTGCAAACGTATTCCTTGACACCTCGACACCCATTGCGCCTCCTCCCAGCCAAATACACTTCCTGCAAAGTCATCCAAGTAGCTGACCTTGCTGTAGACATGAGTTACACAAGCTTGCTAGATTGGGCAGCAAACAGCAAAAAACAAGTCGAGAAAGCGCATGGAAGGTCTGATTGTGCGAATGTGTTTACTATAAGATTCACTACTCACTACTTGTGAGTCTGGCACCGTACTTCCTGCCACGGTACCACAGCTGCTGATGGTAGCGAATCTTTGTCCTTCACCAGCAGCTTTAAGCCTGCCACAAAGGTACACCCAACCAGTAAGTATGAACGTTTGAATGTGGGGCGTCTTTAATTAGCTCTGGGATTCTCTGTATTGAGAGGGGAAGAACGTCAGGGCACCAAGCATCAAATACTTGCCTCCATAGCCGGCAAGCTATCCGAATCCATATTTCAAGCGCACTGTAATTAACAGTTCCAAAGTCTTGAGCAAATTCCTGCGTGCCCGGAAAACCGGACCTCCACACGGCTCATGGCGCTCGCCTCAGCGGAAGCTTGCACCAGTTTGCGGAACGGTGTCCACATCTGCAAAAAGAGGCGCCGCTGTGGGGAACACTCGGACTTGGGAACACATCTGTCAATAAGGATCCTTGCAATGGCTTTACAGCCGTTCAAATATTGATGAACATCCCTATTGACCTACTGATCAATACAATGGCTCTCAATGTATCTCAATATCAATTAATATCTCCCAGCCACAAAAACATGACACGGGCAATCACCGGTACCTCGTCACATCACAGCCTCTCTCTGCTGGTCTGGTCTGACGCGTCAGCATTGATTGACTCTATGGTGAGGCCAAGAAACTCAAGGGAGGCTGAGTGTAGTCAAACTCCAAGCCTGTGCAGCAGTCCCTTCCAAGTTGCCGGGGAATGCGCAGGATGTCACAACGACAATATGGGCTTAACACTGGGGTGGAGGGGGCGGAGCACCGTTGATTTCGGCTGAATCTGAAATGCAAGCACTCTTCTTCATATGAGTATGTCTTCACCTGAAACCAATGGGACACGTGACTTGAATTCATACTTTCGCCGAGAAACATCTGAAACCTAGGGATGCGAGGACCTCCTGCCGTTCCAGAGGGTTCATGATGCCGTCCTGCACATCCTGCAGGACAACTGTTGAATGCATTGTCGTGACTTGCCCCATGTCAGGATGATTGTGTGCTTGCGTGCAGCTTGGTGCGGCAACCTGTCAACAATCCTCGTATTAGAACCCAGCCACAAGTTGTGTCAACATGTGTCCACCATACCATTTCCGTGCATCTTCTTGTTGCAAGTGGCAAAGGCGTGTGTCTCTGCGAAGATGGCCGCCTTAGATGTGTGAATATCGCAGGCGGCTTTTACTTGTTGACACCATAACCGAGAAAAGGAGGCCAATCTTAAAAACACAGTGAGTGCACGCAATCTAGTTGGCCACACATCAACAGCAAATAAAGCGCTGGCACAATGCACTCATTGTGCCAGCGGAAACTCACATTAAAACTCAGCCCAATTCTAGTGCCTGCTTGCTGACAGGAACAAACCTGCCATGGTCTGATTCAATGATCAATGGGTGCTTCTGCGTTTAGATTTCAACCTAAGTGCACCTACCAATGCGGGAGTCCCAGCTTCCCAATCAACAAGGCAGACCAATACCAACTGCTTGAAACCATGTGCAAGGGCAAGGCTGATTGACCATGCGGGACTCAATTCAGGCTTCTGTGTGGCAATAGTCCGTTGCTTTTACTCATGCAGCTGGGGCTGGTCAAGGAGTGTTCTCTCGTGCAATGACCCGTGCACCATCAGCACAAGACGTGCTGCCATCAAGTTGGCATGGCACTTTCTTTGGTACTTAATTGTGATAGCGTGATGTGCGACGCAAAGACAGTGCGACGCAAAGACAGTGAACAGAACAGTCTCCAAAGTGCTTCCTGTCTTGACCGAAAGAATGCTCCGCAAAAGCTTTTGCAGAACACCTGAACGAGCAAAGGTGATTGCAATGCCCAAAATTGCTGTTTCAGGGTGCTTTGTCACTCACCACAGCGATATCCGGCGCCCAGCTTTCTGATCGCAGCTTGTAACATCGGAGTCTTCCATTTTGGTTTAGTGGGCGAACACCATTCCTGAAAATTAATTCAGCAATGCCCTTCGCCCAAAAGCAATTTGCTTCGGGCAAATGTTTGATTGGGCGCGGCGTGTTAGCCAAACTTGTCACATCTGGGCAAAGCCCGGGGGCAACAGCAATTGCGAACTTGACGCCACTCTTGCGAAGCACTCTGGGCGACCACATAGACTTTATTTGATGGCACTATCGGTCCCAACTTTCAAACACAACGACAATACGTTTTGCAAAAACAAAGCGCTCCTGCTGACGGACAGCTTGTCGATTTCCTTGATCTCATGTTTGTTAAAGGCCGCAGCACAGGCAGAACAACATGCGCGAGAGCGCATGCAGAGCAAGGCGCACAATCGCGCACACAGGAGCAAGCAGCAGAACTGGCTGGTGGACGCACTGCACCAGGCCGCCAAGGTCAACTTTTCACAAGGTATATGGACGGTATACGCGTGGTTTTGTAGCATTTTGAGGGGCATTGATGCTGACAATGCGAGAATTGCTCAAAAAGGCAAATTGGGGCCAGTTGTGGAGAGCTCTTTGGTGGGGCCAGGAATGCTGGGGATGCAAACGGTCGAGTTTCCTTGTGCGCTGATGCAGTGCGTGCGTGTACGCGCGTCCCTGAGCCCCCCAAAAAAACACAAACAGGTACTTTGCAGGTGGTCCAAATTGAACACATAAATTTGGAATGGGCTCAAAGTGTCTAGCGCTTCTTCCAGGCCGCCATGTTTGAACTTTGAGTTTCCTGCTGGACAACCTCTATGGCCCACGATTAGAATGCCAGGTTGCCAGCGGCTGCTGCGCCCTTTGGCTCAGCTGCAGCTGCACCTGCACCAGCATCCGCTTGGCGATGCCCATGCGCCGGAAACGCTCTGAGACGCACACGTAGCCTCCGTTTGCATCGTCGGGTCGGTTCTGGGATGTTCTGGGGGACATGGAGAGATACTTCGCTGCCAGAGGTGGCAACGAAAAACCAATTGTTGCCGGTGGAACGAGTTGAAGTAAAGTGTCAGCAAGCCGCTCCTGAGTCGCCGGCAATAATCGACAACCATGCCAACCATGACGACAAACGGCACACCAGGAAGCTCTGCGGCAAGTATGACTACATAAAGCTTTCCACAATTCTTGATCTGGCAAACACAAGACGTGTGGCAGGCGCTGCCGGCTGCAACGCCCAAAAATGCCCCGCATCCTTGACGACCCTTTCGATTCCAAGTTTCAAGTCCGGCGATCGTCGACGGTCGGGAGTCTGCCCCCAACATTGACCAAGCTGCTAATGAGGCAGTGGTTTCCTCGAGGGTAATACCTGAGCAAACGGCAGGGTCAACTTGGCCTTCTACTAGCCCTGTTTGAATTAAAATCCATTCCAAGGACAGCTTTGCTTCAAGGGCCATCACAGGTTTGTGAGGCATTGTGACGCCCTGCAGGGCATTATTTTCCACGGAAAAGCCTGCGGAATTTGTCCGCTTTGCAGCGGGCAATGTGTATCTATAAGGAAACTCTGTCCACTCCTGACCTCTCATGATCACCAATGCGAACCCTACCCTGTCAGCAAGCGTCTGCTGCCCAGGCTTGAGGCACCCCCACTGGCTCACAAGTACATGAAGGAAAGCGGTGCGAAAGAGTTTGACAAGGGCGGACCTGCCATTGAGGCTGGGCTTGCTCCGCCTCTCCTCGTGCTCCCCACCCCCACTCCCCACTGAGCTGGCCCCGAGCTACTCATAGCAGGTGCAGCCGGCCAGCTCCGAGCCCTGCAGCAGCACCAAAACATGCAGCTCCTGTCAGCACGTCTCGAGGCACCAGTGTGGACACGCATTGAAAGCCAAGATCAAAAGGGCAGCGTTGTGTGGATGCTTGTGGATTCGAATAACGCCGGTTTGCCTCTCTCTGGTTGTGATGGATTCAAGTAACTTAATGAACACCAAAAGTGCAAGCAACCCAAAACAAGCACATCGGGGGAGGGGGGGTCTTCGCAGTGTGTCAGCTTCACCTGGTGGCTTCGTCTTGCCGCTTGGCTTGCCTGTTGATGGAGCACCGATCCAACGCAATCAACAGGTTGCCACCAACAGCCTCATGGTCAAGCTATTTGCCGAGTAAGCCAAACTATTTTCAAGCTGCGAGGAGGGATCCCAAGGATGGGGTCTTCATCTGGGTGAGAACATTTTCCCCCGGGAAGGCCGTTCTGCCTTGCACCCCTGTGTTCAGTCTCAGTGATGATCCTATATATTGACCCGCCAACATCATCAAACTCAGCACTCATGATATTTGTCTCTGCCACCAGCTTTCGTCCCCGCGACTGCGCTCCGGGTTCAAGCCATCCACTTCTGACTGCAGGCCGGCGCGCATTGTCTCCAAATCCTCAGGGGCTGGTGCGAGGGGCATGAGGCACCCGTTGCCATGTCAAATGGAGCCACTGGGACCCACTGGACGGTCGGTGCTTCAAGCCAAGACTCATCCAGTTCACCGGGCACAGGGAAGTGCACTCGGAGCAGCGCATCCTGACCCGTCTGTATCCAAAAACCGTCTGCAAATTTGGCCTTTCTCCAGCAACCTCTTGCCGCACAATGCATAGCAGCTTACCCTGTGCTTAGCACGTGAAACCGTGAAACATTGCAAAACCGCAGGTCTTGAAGCAGTGCCATCCAAGGCTCGTAAACGCGCTCTAACAAATCCAGCTGCTGCTCTCGCAAATCCACCAGACGCTCATCCATGGCGCCACTCCAAACTCTCAAAGACACACCAGAACCACTGAAACAGTGCTAAACATGCGAAGTTTGTGGAGTTGCTCTGTGGAACAAACGTGGGTTGCGGGCAAAGATGAGCCGTCCCAAAGGCTGACACAGGGGCTGGGTGAGCGTTGGCTTGGTCTTTCCAATGGCTTTTTGTGAAGTACCGGCGTCATCCTTGAATCTCCCTCTCTTTTAGTTTTGCACCTCCCAGCAAAAAGTGTCAACGTGGCACTCAAAACGGGTTGGGAACAGCTTGAGGTAGGGCGTACTGTCAAGATGCTCTTCCTTTTTGATGCGTGATGCAATCTAAAGTGTTTTGCCTTGACCTTGAGTTTCAGGCGTTCATGGACAGCAAATAGGCCGCATCTAAACTCTTCTGCTTTGGGTAACCGTCGGGGCCCCTCCCGCCCCGGCTGGCAGTTGTCTTTATTTTGAGAGGAGTTGCTTCTCAAATTGACTCTCTGACGAAGGGCACCTCGCGTCATGGTCTCCCAATGCAAGAGTTTGGCATGGGCGGGGCGGACAAATCCATCGCAGTTGGAGATGGCCGTACAGCAGGAGGACATGCAGTTTACCTGCGTGGCTGCTCGACTGCGGCTGGACACTCGCCTCTCCAAACTCCACACGAAGCACTGGCTTGCTTGGTGTCCTATATTGACTAGAATGTCGGGGATCTTCCCTGATACCAATCTCGGCTGTCATGGCAGTGGCTGCTCCGCCTTGCAAAAAGGAAGCCGGTATTTTCGAGGCCACCAGAGTTTCATCGGCTACTAGTGGGCGAGATGGCAACCTATGCACTCATGAGACAACAATTCAGGTTTTTTGACTAAACACAACTGAAGGTCTAGCACGCTGCCCAAGCGGATACGCACTTTGCCCGATTTGCCAAATCTTCAGGCTTCACATGTATTCCTTGATCTCAGCCCATTCCCTATCGTTGCCTCGGCCCCAAGATGGAGCGGGGCGGTCGAGCTACGGAAACTGCAGACAGCGTGGACGCCGCAGTCAACCACTTGTAGGGATTTGAAGCTTCCCCGATCAGCATTCCTGCGCAAAACAAATCATCACAACACGTAGGAATTGCGACATTAGCTAACGCCGTGAAGGGGTCTGTTGCAACTTACAGAGATCCCTCAGCCAGTGTGGCCATCATGCTACTCTGACTCACAGGTGGGACGTCGACCTCAGGATGGACAGACTCAACAAAGACAGGGATTGTTCAAAAGGCACTGGCTCCAGTGCGATCTTGAAGATTTAGTCAGAACTCAAGAGGCGGGCTGAAGTGGTCTGCCGCTAGTATTTAGGGTGTGTCATCCAATGGCTACTCAGCAACACTCCAAAGCCCAAATCTGAGGCAGCACCGTATGCGCTTTTTGCTAAACTGGCTCTCTGCATTCCAAGTGGAACCACGTCTTAAACGTGAGACCACGTGAAACTGAAACCGGCAGGCTGCATCCTCAGCATAGAGTCAAACGAATGTTCCAGAGGCTCAATAAAGGAGATGCCACTCATGGCTCTCGTGCAAAAACAAAATCTTCTTGATAGGATAGCCGCTCTAGACATCAGCCAAGGACCCTTTCTTTCTGGCGAGTCTCATGCCACCAAGTGAATCTCATCTAAAACAGGGTTTTGCGTATCAATAGCATGGGGGGTCAAAAGCATCACGGTGCAAGGTTAGGTTGGTTGCTCTGAAGACCATCAGTGCTGAGGCAACGGCAAAAGTCATCCATGACACCTGGCACGAATCAGCCTCCTCCCCCAATCGCCTGCTGGCTGTAAATGCAGCTTGCGACAAGAATCTAGCGCAAAGCGACGCGCGCTCGCACACACACACACACACACACGAACACACACACAAAAAAACAAGTACACAAAGACACAGGGACACAACACACGCACGCACTATTTATGCGCAAGCACCACGTACATGATAACCATACACGAATCTTGAGGCTGAAGTCTCCGTCTCTGCACGGCTCCCACCTTTGCTGCGGTCATGCTCTTTGCCCTCCGCCCACTGCGGCATAAGCCGTGGTTCCTGGGCCCGCAAACTCAGCTCCACGTCCAGGTGATACTGAGCAAACATGGCTTTGCCTCCACAGGGGGAAGGACTTACCTTTCTTCAAACACATCAGAAAGGCGCCATGCAGGACCGGATGCCCAACTTCAGCCGCGCTTGAATATCATGCTCTGCCCTTTGGGCACATCTCAGAATCAACCTCGCATTCTCCTTCAACCCTTCTATTTCTAGGCCTTCCATGGCCTTCCAAACCTCCCTGGGAAGCGATGCGATGTTCCGACATGGCCTTGGAGAGTGCCAGCTTCATGAGGATCTCCTTGCGCTGAGCCCCGGCAGCCGTGTCCTCAGGCTCCTGCAGCATGCTCAGGCCAACCCCTTGGAATGTCACTGCACCGGTGCATTCTGATGGATGGCCTCAAATGAGGCTGTAGAACATGAACCAGCGCAGTGTATGTATGTATGTATGTATGCATGCATGCATGCATGCATGCATGCATGGATGGATGGATGGATGTATGGACGAATGGATGGATGGATGGATAGATGTGTGGATGGATGTATGGACGGATGGATGGATGTGTGGATGCATGGATGACATCAACCTCAATGTCTAAAGGTTAATTGTCAGTATCTAATTGGCTATTTCAAATGAGTGCGAACTGAGCCAAGCGAATAATAGAAACATATGTCTATCAACGTGGATTTTTTCCGTGTTAAAACACGCGGTGATATGCGGGATTTTGCCGCATTTGTCAGATCATCGTTCCTTCCCTCAAGACAAAGTCAAACTGGAAATTGTGTCATCTTTCTTGTCAGCTTTGAGGGTCCAACTGGGTACCTCCGAACAAGAAGGCCCTTTATGTCAAAAAACAGTTTTTGGGAGAAACTTAAAAGTATATATATCTTTTGGCTGGATCCAGAATCCAAGGTTGCGCAAAAGAATCTTGGGACCTTGATTCCCCAACATAGGGCTCTCACCTTGGTTTGCAAATGTTGCGCAACATTTTGCAATGATGCTCAACATTCCCACAGAATCGCTGCTACTAAAAAAGAAACACACATGTTCCTACCCCCACCATGGCTGGAATGTTTTTGTTTTTCTGCTTTTTCGTCTTTTAACGTACATGTGTATATATATATATGTATATATGTTTCTTTGGGTGTTGGTCTTTTTCTTGCCACATGTTGCGCATTCCCAATGAACCAACTCAGAGCCAGAAATGCTGCTTCTTCAGTTTTTTAGTTGGGAGTGGGGCCAAATGACAGAAATGCAAGCTGTTGCTTCTTGGTGAGTGGGGCCAACATGCAGCTAGTATGTGTTTTTCGTTGGGGGCTCACTCTCTCCAACTCCACTCCAACCCCACTCCAACTCCACTCCACTCCAACTCCACCCCAACTCCACTCAAACTCCACTCCAACTCCACTCCAACTCCACTCCAACCCCACTCCAACTCCACTCCTCTCCAACTCCACTCCAACCCCACTCCAACTCCACTCCACTCCAACTCCACCACAACTCCACTCCACTCCAACTCCACCCCAACTCCACTCCTCTCCAACTCCACTCCAACCCCACTCCAACTCCACTCCACTCCAACTCCACTCCACTCTAACTCCACCCCAACTCCACTCCACTCCACTCCAACTCCACCCCAACTCCACTCCTCTCCAACTCCACTACAACCCACTCCAACTCCACCCCAACTCCACTCCACTCCAACTCCACCCCAACTCCACTCCACTCCAACTCCACCCCAACTTTACGGGCAGGGGTCATCTGCGCACACAAATCTGGATCATCTGTACACACAGGCTTTCCTCACTTATTGCGCCATGCACTCTGGATCATCTGCGCACACAAGGTTTCTCATCTGTACACACACACACGCACTTTTGGCAGGGTGGGGGGGTGGGGGGGGGGGGGATTGGTAAGCACACCCGCTCAAGTGCGCCCGCTCAGCACTGTGGGGGGGGGGGGTGGTGGGGGGGAGGGGTGAATGGTAAGCACACCCGCTCAAGTGCACCCGCTCAGCGCTGTTTCCACGCATGCGGAAGAGTAGCCCGAAGGGGTGGGGGGTGGGTGGGGAGGCGGGGGAATGGTAAGCACATGCCTGCCACCTAATAAGCATACCCGCTCACGTGCAACAGATGGGGTGCGGTATTGGGGAAGGGTGGGGTGGGGGTGGGGGCTGGGGCGGGGCGGGGTGGGGCACACCCGCTCACGCGCGTCCGCCTAGCGCTGCATCCACGCTTACCACCTAATAAGCACACCCGCTCACGCGCGCCCGCCCAGCGCTGCACGCATGCCTGCCACCTGATAAGCACGCCCACTCACGTGCAACACATGCCTGCCGCCTTAATGAGCGCCTGCTCAGGGTGGGCTGGGCTGGGGTCAGGCTTTGGGGAGGTTGGGGTGGGGTGGGGCACACCCGCTCAACACAAAATGCCCTTAGACCAAGCGAAGCCGGGCGAAAGTCTGTCCCCCTGATTTACACACGAAGTGCAAGAGACTTGTCAAACCTTTATATGCAAGAACATATACACCACATTCTTTACCCCGAGCAAAATTGAGAGCGGCTGACAGAGGTAAACCGCACAGGAGACAACGGAACACAACATTTCCTATGTTCATACGACAGAAAGGCAAGGAAACATGCAGCTGTCAACGCCCCTGTCCCTTCTTGTGCATAGCAGTAAGCACTGCGTGTACAAACGATCCGGGGCAAAAAAGGCCCGCGTGCAGAGACGATCCGGTCCCACGTGTACAGACGATCCGAATTCCGCGTGTACAGACGATGCACTGACCCAACTTTACTCCTCTCCAACTCCACTCCAACCCCACTCCAACTCCACTCCACTCCAACTCCACCCCAACTCCACTCCACTCCAACTCCACCCCAACTCCACTCCAACTCGACTCCAACTCCACACTCCACTCCTCCACTCCAACTCCACTCCAACCCCACTCCAACTCCACTCCACTCCAACTCCACCCCAACTCCACTCCACTCCAACTCCACTCCACTCCAACTCCACTCCAACCCCACTCCAACTCCACTCCACTCCAACTCCACTCCAACCCCACTCCAACTCCACTCCACTCCAACTCCACCCCAACTCCACTCTCCAACTCCACTCCACTCCAACTCCACTCCAACCCCACTCCAACTCCACTCCACTCCAACTCCACCCCAACTCCACTCCACTCCAACCCCACTCCAACTCCACTCCACTCCAACTCCACCCCAACTCCACTCCAACTCCACTCCACTCCTCTCCAACTCCACTCCAACTCCAACTCCACTCCACTCCAACTCCACCCCAACTCCACTCCAAACTCCACTCCAACTCCACTCCAACTCCACTCCAACTCCACTCCAACCCCACTCCAACTCCACTCCTCTCCAACTCCACCCAATCCCACTCCAACTCCACTCCACTCCAACTCCACCCCAACTCCACTCCACTCCAACTCCACTCCAACTCCACTCCAACTCCACTCCAACCCCACTCCAATTCCACTCCACTCCAACTCCACCCCAACTCCACTCCACTCTAACTCCACCCCAACTCCACTCCACTCCAACTCCACCCTAACTCCACTCCTCTCCAACTCCACTCCAACTCCACCCCAACTCCACTCCTCTCCAACTCCACTCCAACTCCACTCCACTCCAACTCCACTCCAACCCCACTCCAGCTCCACTCCAACTCCACTCCAACTCCACTCCACTCCAACTCCACCCCAACTCCACTCAAACTCCACTCCAACTCCACTCCAACTCCACTCCAACTCCACTCCTCTCCAACTCCACTCCAACTCCACTCCTCTCCAACTCCACTCCAACCCCACTCCAACTCCACTCCACTCCAACTCCACCCCAACTCCACTCAAACTCCACTCCAACTCCACTCCAACTCCACCCCAACTCCACTCCAATTCTACTACTACTGCTACGGCTGCTACTACTACTACTACTACTACTACCACCACCACTACACTACTCGCTGTGGTCAAAAGGGGTGGCAGAAACGGGTGGCAGATTTGGCCGCGCCCCTTTTTGGTGGTCAAAACGGGTGGCAGAAATTGGCGGCAGATCACTCAGCGTAGCCAAATCTGCCATTCCTTTCTGCCACCCCTTTTGACCACCAAATCGGGCGGGCGTCCAAACCTGCCACTCCTTTCTGCCACCCCTTTTGACCACGAAATTGGCCCTCAGGATGGCTTGAAACATGCTATGTCCAAGATGGCAATTTCCTAACCATAAGCATTACGGGAGCCAGTCAGTGTATATATATATACATTGGACATTCATAATTTTGGTCCCTCCGCCGGGACTCCCCCTCAAGGCCTCAAACAAGAACACTGAATGGCTGTACAGCGTTGAACAATGCAGCGTCTTCAGCTCCGCAGCAGTGGAAATGTCAACGCTCTTCGGGGCGTTCTGCCAAAAGAAGGCCCAAAGATTGGACCAAAGACTGCCACACAATTTGCAAGCTTCAAAAGCTGCAGGGCTCAAGCAACTGCATATGTTCATGTTTTTGGGGTGTGTGATAGTATGGCGCCATTCGGTGCGCTGAGGTGAGGCGTTGAGAAAGGCTGCAATTCAGCAACCGCATCTCAGAAATCTTCCTCATATTGCTTGCTGAGCCCTATCAAATGCTCAAGCAACATTCTGGCAATATTGAGGCAATGCACTTTGACGTTCCTAACCTCTGCGTATACTTGCACTTTCAACGAGTATACTCTAACATGTTGCAGGAATTCAACTTCAAGACTCGTCCTAGGGACACACTGCAATCTGTTGCACATCATTTCCTCGCGTAATTTGTGGCAATAAGATTTGGAAGATGCACACAGTTCCTTCTCGAACAACTGCAGCAATTCACCAACGCCATCTGTGATTTAGCGCGGGCCTTTCTGTGGAAAGACGTTGCAATGGTGCACACATGTCTAAGTCATGCACTTGTTCTGGCAATATTGCACACATCAGCTTCTGTGCATTGACTTTGCCCCTGGTGCACAGTACCATGTTGAGGGCATTGCTTCGCTCACATCCACTATCATTTGGGATCATTGCGGCAGGAAAACTGTGCAGACTGCCTTGCGCGGCAACAGCGCATCTAGCTGTAGACGAAAACGCTGTTCACTTTGTTTCGCAAACGCGCTGAAAGTATCCTGGGCATTGCTTCAGCATCTGTTCTGTTGGCATGTTTACCATTGCAAGCTTAACATTGTTGTGGATGTTATTGTGTGTTTGCAGAAATTACATACAGTTTCCGGGCAAGTTCATATTGTAGTCCTTGGCTGTGCCTTGCCTTTGTCAAACGTGCATGGTTGCAGAACTTGTCTATAAACAGCTTTGTACAAGGCACCCTTTGGGTCACAAATAAAGCAGCACTCAAAGGGCACTTGGACGGTAGGATGTAATAATCATGAAAGTGCTAATACAAATGACAATAATGACGATGATTGATGTTCATGCTAATAGTTCCATATTTCTTGCTTCTCATCCCTGCCACACGTACAATCACAGAGTTTTTGAGGTAAGCCTCTGCAGACAGAGAACCCATTTCCTTTGAAGAATGCCGTCCGTTGGTGGCGGGCGGCAGTGTAAGCTTTCGCCGCCCTTTGGACACCCGCCTCTTGGATCACGAGGTCGTCTTGCGGCCGCCGCATCGACTCCTGGCGGGTGCTGCCAAAGATCCGCGATGCGTACTCCCAAACAAGCTGAATGTGAATGGTGCGGGGTTTTGCTCGTTGGCTCATATTCAGTATCTCGAGTACAACCATCAAGTGCTCTTGTTGGGATTCAAATGGCCAGCTCTGGCGCCGCGCGGCTTTGCAATCGGCCTGCGTCTCGAAGTTGTAGTAGTACTTCACTCCACGGAGGTCATAGAAGGCGTGCCTCGGCCCACTTGCCAAGTCGCCAGGAGGTGCGTGACGGGCTACGAGCCGCAAAGAAATGCAAATAGGTGGTATGGCCATGAGCTGTGCCTGGATCGCCACTTTTTTCAAGGTCTCAATGGAAGGCCATCAGCCCCCAGAACGGAAGCCCTCTCTGGTCCAACCACAATGCTCGCCTGCGCTGGACCTCTGCTTCCCGATCTGAGGGACTGTCCAAATTCTTCTGGGTTGATTCTCAAGATAAATAGGCTCCGGGATTCAAGGGTCAAAACTTATGAATATGTATACATATATACACCGACATGTGGTCAAGGAGCCCCGCAGGCACCCAATGTGTTCTTTTAGGCTCCAACTGCCTTCTCAAAAACTTGCCATTGTTTCTCTGCCGTGAGGGTTGCTTCTGCCGCCCAGCACCTCCCTCTACAGGACGCCCTGCCACTTCTCACCCAGGGTGGTCTCCAGAGGTGCAGGTTTCGAGAAGGTCTCTTTCGCCTGGCAGCCATACCAAGCCAAGCGACTTGCTTACTCCCTTCATCTCGAATGTGCACCTTTTGGTTCCCATATTTCCTCACACATCTTTTGAGAATCAACTGTAGCCATGAATTTGTGCGTTGGCGTTGCTGGATCGTCTTTTGTTGAGGCTTCTCATGGGAAAGCACTTATCCTTTCCTTCAAAGCAAAGCCATCTGATAGGTTATGTTCAATTGCGCTGGTTGGCTCTCGCATGCTGTAGCTCAAATGTCCACTGGCGACCCCGCTCCTCCGGATCGATGATGGTCAAAGGCGATTCCACCTGCTTGCCTGGACAGTTCAACGTAACGCGCTGGGCTTGTTGGTCCAGTCGTGCATTGATGTCTCAAGGTGGTGTGATGATATTGACGCGGGCCTGAGTATGACTCAAGACTTCTCTTGTCATTTGTTCATCAACACAGTCAGCAATTTCAGGCACGTTGGAATTGCATTTGTGGATGTTCTGAAGACAGGTGACCAGTGTCTGCTCCCTCTCGCTGTTGCACTGCCTACTATCCGTTATCCATGACAGTCAGCCTTTCAGACTGCCACATGCCTTCTAGTCGAATACATTGCTTCTCACTCCTCTCGCATAGATTTGCAGACACGGAATTGTGATGGTTACGTCTCCATGTAGATCGCTGTCCCACCCCTTTACACCTTTAGAGTCATTCCTACTAATTGCGCAGGCAGAAAGCAGGGTCTGTGACTGCGCGCCTTCCTTGCGAGCCTTCTCTTCGCGCTCTAGCTTGGCGGAACGCTTGTAATCTATCCTCAGATTCAGACCCGGGGGCCAACTGCGGCCAAGTCTTGGACGGAGTGCCTCAAAATGTATGTACCATACTTCAACTTTTGGGGGGCCAACATACTCACAGTATTTATCTGTACTTCTCAAGCTCAAGCAATTTGGATACCGCAGTATATCCAAGGTACAAAAAGATATACAAAGTCTCAAAACACACTTTGAAGTTTTGCATCTTGCTGCTTTGGGACGCCGAGGGGGCTAGAGCAGCTCAGCTCATGGCCAGCTTGGAGATAAATTCTAAATACTGTGAAGCATGCCAGCGGCAGGAAGATTGTACACTCTTTCCTCTCTCGCGCACCTTGGAAATGGACAGCCAGAAGTCGCGTACATTTACACCTCCCCCCTCCGCACGTTAAGGAACCGGGGGTGGTAGCAGAACTTTTCCGCAAACAGCGTGTCTAGGCTGAGGTCGGGGTTAGACCAAGGCGGCCTCCCTAGACCATCTCTCAGCGGCAATCACTGTAGAATCATGACTTTAAAAGTCTGGAGATGCATTTCGACTGCACAGTCGCGGAAAGTGGCTGGGCGATTTGGGGGTGCTTTTCGGCCACGAGGCTTGCGCAAAACTTCCCTTGTGGGATGTTCATGCGCATTTCAACTGCGCAAGCTTGCGCAAGTGCTGCGCTGACTTTTTGGTGTCTTTCGACGATATGATTTCGCTGGCGTTGCGCGCCGAATATGGTTGATTGGTGAACCTGTCGCGCTGTGCGAGTTTTAGCATCTCTGCGAACTTTTGCGTGTGTTGAATCGTTGTCGCTGTGGTGAGGTGAGCCCTCGGATCGCTCTCGCTTTGGCGCGGTGCGAGTGGACCCTCTGCGGACTTCGGGCGGATCGGATCGCTCTCGTCGTGGCGCGGTGCGAATATTGAACATCGAAAGTGAACCCTCTGCGGACTACAGGCGGTGCAAGTTACAAACGTCGAAGTACAGGACCTTCAAAGACACTTGCTCTTGCAAGAGACCCGGTTGATTCTGACAGAGAAACTCAATATATAATAAGATATAGAGGATTCTTTCATGGACCTGCACACAAATCTTGCCGTCAAGAGACCCTACCCAGAGACCCTACGCACAGATCTTGCCAAGAGACCCTGTGCAAAGATCTTGCGCAGCGATCCTGTAAAACTGCACCCATACATATTTCGCGCTGGCGCTTCGTAGAGGGTCCGCTGAAAAGGTCTCGCGCAGACCCTGTCAAGGGTTCCGTGCACAAATCTTGCCAAGAGATCCAGTCCAAAAATCGCGCGAGCAGATCTGGCCAAGAGATCCTTCAAGAGATCTTGCGCAGAGATCCTGCAACCCGAAGATACCTCGCGCTGGTCTTTTTAGAGATCCTTCCAAGAGGTCTTGCGCAGGACCTGCAAAGATTTCCTTCGTCTTACAGACGGTGAGCGGTCCTGGCCGGGCGATAAGAGATTCTACCCACACGTCTTGATCCTCCAGCAAAGATATTAAAACGGTCGAGGTCTTGTGCGGGACCTGCAAAGATTTCCTTGCGAGAGATCTTGTAGACAATGCTCCCACAGATCTTGAAGAAACCGCTTGTAGAGGGTATCCTATAAAGAGACAAGGAGATTCTAGTCGGAGATCTTGTGCAGGGATCCTGCACAGACCCTCCGCAGATATAGTGCGCTGTTCCTGCCCAGGGATCCACTCAGCAGATTCTGCGCAGGACCTGACTAGGTTTCATGTCGAGACATCTTGTAGAGGACGCTCTCTACAGATCCTGAAGAGAGAGCTTGTAGGTCGGAGATCCTTCGCAGAGACCTTGCCAAGAGATCCTATGAAGACACCCAATCCACAGATCCTGCAAAGATCCTTCCACAGATTTTTGAAAGGAAATCTTCTTTAGGAGCTTCAGAAGGCTTTGTTTGAAGAGCACGTGCAAGACCTTCAAAGACCCTGTGCATCTGCTACGGCTACGTTCATCCTACTTGCGTGGGTTCTTCTCACTTTTTGACACTCTGATCTTCAATCAAGCACTGTGCCCCGTCTATGACCATGGCTACGAACTCACTGTTGTAGATTCCATGTACCCGGAGAGAGGAGACATCTCCCCCTCTCTCCCTCTCCTTGCTCTTTCTCTCAGGTCTAGCTCACTGAGTCCACTTGATGCCAGCATTCCACAGCTTTTCAGTGGCTCGTTGCTGGCGAGGAACTTCAAAGGCTTCAAGTCAAGGAACTTGGGTAGGGTCTTCGCCTCGGGGCGCCAAGGACAGACATGGCCGCCCTTGGTTGGCACTTTTTTCTTGAAGGGCACTAAGTGAACAAGAGGACGGGCCCCAAGAGACAAACGGAAAAATACTTTAACCGATTTGCTATCTACAAACACGGACAATTACATCCATGGTTCGCGGCAGCTGGGGCCCGGCCGCCCGGACATGGCCCAACAGCCGGGTGGTGCTAATAAAAACTTGCTTGGGCTGGGCAGCCGGGCAGCTGGGTCACTTTTCATGTCTGGGCACCCTTTCAATATAGGCACAACGTAAGTACAGCTGGCAAGTGTTGCGGGGCCAAGAATGGCTCCCTGAGCAGGAGCTGACCAATTCTGAACATTGGTTTGCGCTTTTCTGCGCCTGCTTTCTGACTAGCAAAGGTGTGGGATTCCAGCAAGTAGTCTGGCGAGCATGTCATGTTCAGTTGCACATATTGAGCTTGGACCATCTCAGCAATTGCCATGTGTTACTCGGAAGCACGTGGTCCATTTCGGAATGCCTGAGTCGCTGGCATGCTTGCGATGGTAACAGTCGCTGCAATACTTTCCCCGCGTGTAGGTGCACTGCAGCTTGGCCGGCATCACCTAGCTTCATATGTGCCCCTCCACGCCGGACGGGTGTATTGATCTGTATGGTCTGCATGCCCAGGCGTCGCATGAGCCATGCACAAAATGACGGCCACCCTATCACGTAGCATGGATCATTGAGAACTGCAGCTCGTGTACCATTGTTTCACTTGACTGTGCTTCGTGAAGTCTTCTCAGGATCCACAACAAGGCAGCAAACCACATTATGACTCCTGCGCATCAGGCAGCACGATTCCAGGCAATGCACGCGGCTTCTGCACGCCTTGCACATGACGCACAGAATGAAGTGGTTCGGCTCGTGCGTTGCACCTGATTTATCACATACTTGCCAGGATTCTTTCTAGCCTGCGGAAGGACATGTCACTTCAGCCCCCTTTCACATTTGCTGGCTAGCGCCTTTGCCTCCTCCTGCTTCTATATTGATTGTGGGGACCAATACGCAGGACTGATCTGCAAATTATCTGCAGTCGGACTTTCTTGTATGGGGCACTCAAGCTATGGATCCCCATACTGCTTGTGGATCTGTGTTTGACAAGCGCTGACCTGTCACTTGTAGGCATCCCTGCGATGACCTTTGGCATGCAGCTTCTCAAAGCAGTTCAGGCCTCAGCATGAAGTGGAGACCGGGCGACCATCAAATCCGAGAACTATCAAACAGTGTTCATGTTGAGATATATTCACATTGAGCTCACATGCCGCTGGTGTTGAGCGCGCTGCATAAGCTGTCTCCGCACTCAGGACCTTTGCGAAAGGAACAACGCCGGCTCAAGCAAATTCAAGCAAACACACCTTTAGACTTTGGCGGGCTTTGCGCGTTTCAACACAGGCAGGTGTGTGCTTCTTGACAGGCAGAAGAATCAAACACCGTGCCTCACAACACCCAAGCTCAAATTAATTCAAACCAACAGATAAAACTTAGCAAGATTGAGGCTGGCATGTCATCGAGATCCTTTGCTGTCGCCCAAAGCCAATTCAATTCTTCACGTTTCCTCCCAGAAGTATCTCGGCTCAGACTCTGGAGATGGAAGCCAGCGCCTTCCCTGCATGCCAAGGTGCAGTAGAGGTGCGCTACGTTGGCCTCTGTATGGAGGCATTCCACGCAGTACCTTCCGGGAGCAGCATTTGCAAGCTTTGACAGGGCAACAATTGCTCAGGCTATAAGAACATAACTAATCAAGCTATATAATATCAAACAAATGCGTGCACATTGTGAACCACGTGCTGCTGGATTTGGGTAACTGGCCACCCGGATCGCACCTCCATTTTCCTTGCTGGCTGCATCTGAAGGTTGTGCCTGTATGTGCCCCTCAAAGCAGCTTGCAAGCAGCTCCGCGCAGGAGCAACTTTGTGATGTTCTCGTTGGAGAC